ATATTTAGTTCTCCCAGTTTAGGTGTCTTTAGTTGTTTGTTATGCCCCACTGTTTGTTTGCCACTACACCTCTGTAAATAAAACCACCGGTATCTCATCCACTGCCTGCATCTTGGGTCCTCCTTCTAAATCCACACGGCTCGCCTCGGCAGCCGTGACAAATAGAACCCAAGGAATCATGGAGAAAAGCCAGTGGGATTTGAAAAAAATCCGTATCCAGAGAAGGAGACTGACAAGGCTTGATGACTTCGTGGAAATTTATCAAAAAATGCACGATGCCCTCCTGCTTGAATATGCAGACATGAAAAAATCAAGACAAAAGGTATGAATAACTTCCTAATAATGAAAATGATGTTTTATACAAATAGAACAAGAAACTAAGAAAAAGTGAAAACATTTGCCTATGACTATAGAATTAAGAAATGATAAAATAAGTAAGCACTAAAATATGTATGTGTAATCAACAGTCTTTTCGCGTGGAAATGGCGAAATGGAAAGACAAACGCATTAAACGAAAAGGTGTGTATGTGTCACCGTTAGTGACAGAACTGCCACTGAAGAAAAAGAAAACTGAGGTAAGTCATCATGTTCCCATTATTTTCAATAATTAAACCTTGTGATGTCCTCCCGATTGCCATACTCCTTTTGTCCTCTGGGGTAAAGCGTCTGCTTTGACTATTTATAAAGCATCAATTAAAAATTATAAATTATCATCCGTGGAATACAGTTTTATCAAACTGTATTCTAACTTATTACCTGAAATTTTTATGTTTTTTGACATTGTATTACACCTAGGCATGGGCCTTAGTGAACCCCCACTTTAATGACAAAAAATGCATGTCCATAGGTGACACAAGTGCAGGAGGAAGCTCAGGTTTTTTGCTTTTTGCTGGTCACACCATGTACAGCTTTGTTTTCAGCAGTTGTAGGCCAAGGGCATATGAATTAAACAAGCTTTCACGGGTGATCATTGTCTTTTGGAGACCTACTGTAATTTTAAGCACAGCTCGCGTGCCCTGACTGCAGGCAAGCAAATTTCCAATCGTAAACTAGCATGTTCTCTGTACAGCTGGACCGGGCATCACATACTGCCCATGTTTTTATCTCATAGTTTCTCTGTTTACTTGGGATGTAATGTTGGACAGAGTCCTTTAAGGGGACTAGGCACTCATACACAGTCATATCAGTGCCTGTATGGTACACCAACAGCAGGACAGATGCTCACTCGTTACATACATCTCAAATCAGAACAAGTTTGTGTCATTCATGACCATATTCTATTGTCTATTATATTCTATTACATAAAGTCATTAAAAAATGTTATTTGTTAACAGATAAAAGGGAAGACCACTGTTCAAACCTTTAAACAGGAACAGCACAAACAATATGATGCTTGTCAAAACCAGGTATTTTTAGAAATGGTTTTAATGTCTACATTTATGTTGTGTGTGTTATTGTCATAAATGACTCTGAAAATTGACATGTGTTTATCTTTGTGGGATGAGAGCCAGGAACAAATAGCTGTTAGCCAAAAAATAGCAACATACATGGCTAATAAAGCATCGGTCACATTATGGAAAGGAGATTTATGTGCCTTCAAAGTGGATGCAATTGTTAATGCAGCTAATGAAAGTCTCTCTCACATGGGTGGACTTGCAAAGGCACTGTCTGCTACTGGAGGACGTACTATCCAAGCAGAGAGTGACGTCTTCATTGCCAAAAATGGCAAATTAAAGGCAGGAGAGGTTGCAGTTACCACAGCAGGTAAACTACCTTGCATGAAGCTGATTCATTTGGTAGGCCCGTGTCTGCAGAATGACCGCACAGTGCACATGATATCCCATGCAAAGAAACTTTTAACTAAAGGTATTTTGAACGTCATGACATGTGCAGAAGAGCACAAATTTTCCTCTATTGCCATTCCAGCAGTGAGCTCTGGAATATTCAACTTTCCAGTCACAATTTGTGCTGATGTTGTAGTCACCACAATCAAAAAGTACATTGAACATAAGAACCCCACAAGTCCTCCATTTGAAATACACCTGGTAAACAACGATGATCTAACCGTGACGGAAATGGAAAGGCCCTTCAAAGAGATCCTTTTGGAGCCACTCTCTGATGTCAGGAGGACAGTGAGTACACCTAATTTTAAAGTATAATTGTTATCTTTAGTGTTAGAAAAAAATGATAACAATAATCATGAATAAATAATTATTATGAAATAACAAGTGAAATTGAAGAATTAGAGCATCTTTGATGCATAGAATAACCCTTTTCAAATTGTGCAATAAAAATTAGGCCACAAAAAGTCTTCTTCCTCCTAGCGTTTTTCCCGCTCGGTTGCAGGGTCCGCTTTTCTGCAAAGTCGTCTCCACTTGGGTCGGTCAAGGGCGTCGGTCAGATCGGCTTCGATCTTCTTCACGTCGTCCTTGATTTGGTCCATCCATCTCCGCTTTGGTCTGCCTCTAGGTCGACGTCCTTGGGGGCTGAGCCGCAGTGCTGTTCTCACCACTGAGTTCTCATCGCTCCGTACCACATGTCCGTACCACCACAGCCTCGCTTCTTGCATCTTATCTGTGATTGGCGCGATTCCCATCCTCTTTCTAACGTCGGTGTTCATGACGTGGTCCCATCGTGTTAGGCCTAGGCACCATCGCAGCATCCGCATTTCCATCGTGTGAAGGGCTTGTTCGTGCTTTGCGGTGGCTGGCCAGCACTCGCCACAAAAAGTAGCAGTCATTAAATACATTCAGGCTATGTTGTTCTTCTTCATTTGTTATGATTTTGTAATCCAACAAACACCGCACTTAGTGAGTATTATGTGAAATATATCAGCATTAATAACATGTAATTCATGCAAAAGGTAATGCAATGCTTTCCTTAATAAAACATTACTTAAAATGATCACAGCAGTAACAAATATTTTCGTTTAAATTCAACCCACAAATCAAGGGGCCAGAGGATTCTCCATCTACACTGGAAAGGACAGAGCACCTTGAAAGAAACACAACCGGTCTGACAAAGGACACTGCATCACAGGTGATGTTTCACAAACAAACTCTAATTCAATAACTATGTCATGTGTTTGAAACCAAGTTTGTTAGTACATATTTTTGTAATTATATTAATTATATATTCGATTTTATTATATGTATGTGTTGATGAATGAAAATTACAGATCACAGAAAAATGGCAAATGTCAGTCCAACAATAAATGTAATATTTACAAGTTACTGGCCTTAATTTTACAAGAACAACAGTAACTGACTCTATTTTTAATTTCTTATTGTAGTTTAACATCTCAAATAAATTACATTAAAATTTATGTCAAATCTGGAGATGTTTTTGTGTTGTTGCGTCAGGTACATAAAATACTTTTAAAAATTACATTTAAAACCTCTCCTAAGAAGAATTTTTAGAACTTTATTTAGTTACTATTTTCTTGTTGAAACACAGGTCGCATATTTGTGGAAACAACAGGAAACGGAAGTTGTTATTTCTGCGGTCCCATCTCAGATTAGAGGTAACAACTTTGTCATACGTCACAGTGAGTTCCTGACCCTTAGACCACACAGCTGGCTTGTTGAAGAGGTATGTAAACCAGGTATTAACCCCCCACCCAAAAAAAAAAGTACTGCATAAGGTTAACGTTAAAGCTGGGGCAGAACATCAGTTGTTCCCTACACATTCAGTAAGTACTGCTTTAGATCTACATTCCAGGCATATCCTCATGATGGAATATTGAGTATACGTAAATAAAAAAAACTCTTTATTAACCTTTTGTATTCCAACTTTATCATGTTTACAAAGTAATAAAAGGTTATTTATTATACTCCTCAGGTCATTGAAAGTCTGCTGCACCACTGGGCCATTCGGCTGATTCTGGGGAATAATATCTACATTATGAACCACTACACGAGCAGTGTGATCCTCTATGGAGAGAGAGAACTAATCAGGAGACCAAGCTTGTCCAAGGTAAATTTTTATTTCATATATTCTAGAACTCAGTTTTTTAAATTTTATTTTATTTTTTTTTATAATTGAAGTCTTTATTTGTTTTTAACATTTCACAACACGAAAACAAACAAAACAACCAACAAACAACAACAGAAAAAGACAAAAAAAAAAAATTATAATAATAATAATAAAAAATAATAATAATAAATAAAATAAAATAAAAAAAAGGACAGTTAACTCAAATCTTTAAGTCATTCCCTTACTGAGTGCCTACACTAACAAACAGTGCAGCAAGCGTAGAACATGACTAAAGATAATTGCCCTGACCAAATAAGTTCCAACCATCTCAGCCAAAAACACGTCCCCACGATTTGTCAAAACCCTCCCTATCATCATTAATCCTAGCCAAGAGTTTTTCATACGACACCATTTTCAGCATAGTTTCCTTCCACCTATTATATTCTGGAGGAGACGGTTCCTTCCATACACTGAGAATAACTCGAGCCGCTGCGATCACCCCCACCTTTATAACCACAAAGTCATATTTTGAAACCCCAGGTAATACTGACCGATCCCCTAATAAGCACAGTCTTGGTGACAGGGGTATCATCAAACCAATC